ACGTGTACTTAACTGGCTGGTGTACATAGATTGAAGAGAACCAGGTTGAGGTATTATTTCAGCACAATAACATACACCACTAGAGGCCGACCATCACACAGTGATGTTCTGGTAGATGACTGCTTTTAGAGTAAAAATTTCTGATATTATGAGTAACAATTTCTAAATTTCATAAAATTTCTAAATATTTTAATTTTGGATTCAGCATCGTTTGTATCAAATACAAGTAAATAAAGTGTCTTTCTTTCAACGGAATTTATTTGGAGTGGACAAATTACTTTCAAAAGTCTCGTGCAATAAATCTTTGTGGATTATCGTGTGTTTGTTTGTTTCATCGCGGGGAATCGAACCCCGTATTATCGCGTTGTAATTCCGTGAACTTACCGCTGACCAAAATAATCAACAGTTCCTTAAAAGTAAAACAATAAAATCCTGAGGTTCTACGTCTTTTGGTTGTTGAATAAAGGAAGCGTACCCCATTCAACGATATAATTACTCTAAAGTAAATGTTATGTAAAACTTGTGATAAAAGTAAGTTGTTTTTTGTTTGTTTTTTTCACGTTTTTTTATTCGGGTTCAAAATCAGAGATGTGTAAAAGTAGCGTTTTGTAACTATCTGGCTGTTTCTGATATTAAATAAAGGTCTCTTGGCTACTGACTTGTGGGAGACCAAAGATAGATATAAGATATGACATTAAATTCCTTAAATAGTAATAACTGCGTTGGCCAAATGTGACAGGCATAGTACACGAAGCTTTACATCTGAAAATTCTGATTCAGTGTTTAGTCATTTGCTAAGCAAGCCCAACCTATCTTGGGATAAGAGCCGAAAACACAGCTAGAACCGAGAATATCCAAGTCTTGAGCCAACTGATGACATAATGCAGAGTGGTCATGGTGAATTTTGTGCTTTGCTAATCCTCATAATTAAGACTTATTATTATTGACTGTAATTTTTATTGAAGATGTGAATAACCCTTCTGTTCCTAGGGGACAGTGGTAAGTTAACAATCTTACAGCGCTAGAATCCGGGATTCGATTCCCCACGGTGGACATAGCAGATAGTCCAATGCAGTTTTGCTGTGAAACAAATTCTTCTGGTAGGAAGTTATTGTATAATTTCCAATACTTCGCTAGCTTCTAGTGTTAACATCATAATTTTTAGAACCGTAACTTATTGACTGTTTATCAAATAATAACTGTAAAAATTGAGACATATAAAATCTAATTATTCTCTCTTCTGGTGATCATTTCATCTTAATTATCCAATGACTCATTATGTCTCTCTGTACACGAGCGTATTTTCTAGGAAAAAAATATCTTTTACGATATTTCTAACATTCTTATACACGTAATAGATAGACAATTATAGGCTTAGTTAATATTGCATTTTCGTTCAATCAAACATTTTCTTCATAAGCTTTACGAATGAAGTCTGTAAAAAATTGTATAGTATGTAACTTGGCTTAGATAATAAGATAAAAACAAAAACTGACAAACTGTTTTTAATCTTTAATGTGAAAAATCAGCTGATTAAAATAAGAATTTTGTCTTGAAAACTTATGTCATTTTCCCATTCACGTGACAAGCGAACCTTGCCAACAGTGAATAACTTATATAACATTCATAAATCAATTGGACCCGTTTTTTTTTTTTTTATCTTTTCAAATTCCTTATATTATATAATAAGTATGTGTACTTTCAAAAGGCCCAAGTTTTAACTAAGAGATGCATGGCGATTTCTACTCTAATTTGTGTAAAGTTTCAGTCAGTGAAATGTCTGTCACAGCGTTTCTCTTTGTACATTACGTTCTTAAGGATCATTAAGTGTCGTCACAACTCCGTGAAATACCAACGGAACGCAGCGAGCGCTATTTATAAACTGAAAAACAACATACAAAACTAACTTAAAATTAGCAATAAAAAACCATTTGGACGTAATATTAATGTAAATGAATTATATCTCGGTGTTTACAGACCGAAGTATTATATAGTAATCATATATTGAACTATATTTTTCAAATATGAAATTGTTTTAGTCTTTTAGATATAATTATTCGTTATTTTCCTTTACGTTGAACATTAGGCTTGTGCTAAAGGATTTAGCT